GTCTTTAACAACATTAACGATTAGCATTTAAATATAAATTATACTCTAGACATTTCAAGTACCCACGAAAAATAATTCTTAATTACAATATATAATATATTTAAAATTGTTATTCTTGATAATTTAATATGTAATTCTATAATTTGCTTGATTAAAATAACTATGAAAAACGCAATTTTTGTATAGTTTTTAGATCTTTTTTGTTTCAGAATTAATCACTTACGTGAAACCTTGTTTTAAATTTTCAATCCGTGACTATAAAAGTTAAACGTTTTATAAGTTTTTTACAACTTAATAATTTTTTAATTTTTCATTAATTAAATTTTGTCAAAGTTTGAACTTTTAACGGTTATAAAAAAATAACGTGCTTATGTATTCTTATTTCTTAATATTTTTTTTTTAACTACCATTGTAACTAAAAAATTAATTGAATAGAAAACCTTAATATATTGACAAGCATTTTGATCCAACGAATAAAATTTTCTTGACATTTATCTGGTTAAAAAATCGAAAATGTCTATAAATAACTTAAAAAGATTTGAAGTGGGTAATCTTGGCACCACCATGTTCGAATTTTCCATTTTTTTTTTAACCATTAATTGTACTGTAATTGTTTACGAATTTGCACCAATTTCAAAATTTATACTTACATATCTCAACTGGAAAAATCAATTTTTTTGMTGGGGCACCAGAATGACGTTACACCAGCACCACCAAAACTAAATAATGCATTATATAATAATTTTTTTAAAAATTAATTGTACTTTTTATTTATATCGTGTTAGGCTGCAGTACACTGGAATACAATAGGTTAACATAGCATAGAACTTACAGTAAAAATTAAAAATTAAAAAATTAAGAATTAGCTAAAATTAGCTACACCTAGATATTTAGGATTCGAGTTGTTGACTAGCTCTACAACTTTCCAGGTAACTTGAAGTTTTCGATTAGCTTCCTTGTTTCTAAGGTGAAATGTACAGACTTCTGTTTGCAATGGATAATTTGTACAGACTACTGACTAGTAACACCAAGCTTGGATTTTGTACCAAAATGTAGGGCAACGTCACCCTGGCACACCAGCGAAAAAAAAAAAYAAAAAAATAAATCAGAACACACATCTTTCTAAAATCAATACATTCATTGCCCCACTCAGAATCTTAAAACAAAATGGATTGGTCCCTTTTTTTAGTTTTACTTATTCACTAAAAAAAAGTATTAAGAACCAAATAGATAAAATTTGGTATCGAAAATTATTCTCAATGTTGATCGCGATACCAAATTATTCAATCTAAAACTTAATGGAAAATATAATTTAAAAAAACACATAGTTGTAGAATCAATAATACACATTCCTCGCTCTGTCCAAAATCTAATATTGTGCAACTTTATGTTTTTTATTCAGGCGAAAACAAACATCAATATGGTGGTCAGAGATTGTGGGGATCCATTGGTTATAGTTTACTAGCCATCATTTCTGGTGTATGTATAGACTCGTATAGCAAAGAACAAGAGTTCAAAAATTATACACCTTGTTTTATAATTTCATTGATATGTTTCATTTTGGATGTATTTGTGGTGTCAAACATTAAGGCAAATTTTTCTAATTAAATTTTGTTTTGATAAACCATATACCATTTACTAATAATCATACATTCATACATAATTTTAATTTACAGGTTGAACAACAAAGTCCATACACCAAGAAGGTATCATCTGACATCAAAAAGTTGCTAACTGAAGTTAGAATTATAGCTTTTATCATTTGGGTAGTATTATTTGGATTTTTCGTTTCGTTTATAT